ACTCCCTGGTGAAATAGTCCTTGATATATCGCGATTTTTCATTCTTGATTTAGACAGAGAAATTCCATATTCCGCACAAAATTGTTGAATAAGGTTGCGCAGACTGGTATTAGGCACTAACTCCGTGCTTGTTAGCTTCTCCCCGGTTTTAGGGCAGCTCAAATTCCCAGATTTCAGCCATTTTTGAATTGAAGCACGATCATATGTTTGCCCGGTTGGGATTATCACCGGATCAGTCATCAATTCGTACGAAATAGGACAGCGAAAATCCTCAAGATTCAAACAACTTAGCATTTCCAGATTACTTTTAACTTCTGATTGATCAACATATCGAAAATCACAATTCTCGAACAGAACTGCCCTGCAGTAATTCAAGAACCCGACCAAACTGCTCAACAAAGGTACTTCCCTCGCATCACTTTTCGAGTACTCCATGGAAATCTCTTCGTCTAAGAATTTGATTTCCCTATGACAATCTGCCCATGTGCTAATATCTAGATAATCAAGAATTTTCTTGATTATGCAAGGTTCAGGCTCGAATTTATTCTCGAATTGATTTAAGATCAAAATCACTCTCTTCAGAGCATTTTCGTCTTCTTCATCGAGCTCCATTTTCACTTTCCGTGCTTGCTTCGATAACAATTCGACCAACTCCTTAACTTCATTTGATACATCAATTGATCGTAATGGAAGGACATCAAGAGCAGTAGCAATAGCCCGAATTATATCCCGGAATTGATTCGACACAAAATGTGCTTTCATTAGGATCCAAATTCTCGCATCCTCACGCGTGCAATCTTCCAACAAGAACTGGATTTTTTGAAAGGTAGAGTGAAGCTCAGACAAGCTAAGAACAACAGAGTCTAAAACATTAGGCCTATGTTCTTGTATATCCTCGAAAAACATTAAAAGAATTGAAACTTGGCGAAAAATTTCACGGGCATTTTTTCGTTGAGATGCGACGTATTTGGATTGGTAACTACATATGTCATAAGAAAGATTGATCAAAGATTGCAAAAGGGTCGCCGGAGATATGCCTTCACAGGGATGAACCGCCGGAAATTTCAGAATCCGGCGATTATTTCGGTCAAATTTTTGTATCATTTGATGAAAGATAGATTAAAGATTTTGTGTAAAAAAATTCTGGGTTATCTTCGAACTAGATTTGTGGTGCTTTATAACTGAAAATTGAGGGCATTTGAAATTTCAGTTGGTGTCTATATACAAGATTTTGACCAGACGATACTTGTGGGATACGTGGCAAAAATGTATGCGTTGTTTGATAGAATCTATAATGGCTGACTGATTGATACAATGATTTGTACTTTGCTTTCGAAATTACTAGACACGTGTAGTGACACGTGGGGTAAACTGGTTGGGTGATGAGGTTTCTTGGATCCTGCTTGGTTTAGGTTTTAGGTTTGGGTTCTAAGGGTTTGTTTGCTATCAAATAAATTGTGAAATAAGTTGGTGAAGGAAAAGGGGAAGACGTTGTATAGAAAAATGAAGAAAATGATCTAAAATCTTCAATTTTAATTAGTCGATAACTCTACGATATTCACGTTCTAAGGTGTTAATAAAATGGTATTGAAAAGGAATGGATAAAAGTCACAAAAATCCCATTCCATATTAGGACTCTCAAAGATGTTTTAATCCAATTTAAATTGGGACTATCCAAATGAGAGTCAATATTTTTAGGAATTCTATATTCGACCAACTATTTGGTTGGCCTTCTACTAGTTGGATTGCATATGATTTAAACTCTAACGGTATGTTATTCTTATAGGAAGGGCGGATCAGTGTAGAAAACGTAAAGTGTAAAAATGAGATTTCCGGTATCTTGTCCAAAAATAATTAAAAATTATAAAGTTAAAGAAAAAATTTAAGAAAATATCGTACATAAACAATTAACAAATTTATTCTAACCTACTTCGTTTTTCTTGAATAAATTGTAAGCTTGGCCTCGAAGTTAAGAAAGCATAAGAACTTCAAATATTGTTATGACAATCCACAACTGGAAATTCTCTTAATTTCCATGACCCTTTCCTCACAATTGATTTTTTCTCTTGCCAAACAGGCCCTTGGTATAACCTAAAATTTGTAGAAATTAATTGTTGTTTATGATAAGGTGATGGATAAAGGGGCCCACCGGAGTAAATCAGTTAACACGTGGATTAACTAGACTAAAACTTGTACCCTGTGGTTACCATTAAGATTGAAGCAACTTCGGCCGACAATGAGACCGACTTGAAATGTTAATTTGTCTTTCAAACTTCATTTGCGCGTGTTTTCAGATTGTAAAATCTTAATACAACTATGCCTCTATTCGATGGCGAAGAGAAAATATGTTTTGAATAATAATTTTTTGAAAAATGTACGATTAAAGAGTATGGAAAAATTTTGAGTTTAAACACAAAATATTTTATTGTATAAATGTATGGTTGAAAATTAATAGTTTTGTTTGAAAGGAAAACAAATAGAGACATTTGAAGATGTCTGTGAATCGACTGTTCTTAAAGAGCTTATACAAGCGTTTATGGGTTCCTCATGATTCATGATAGATTTTCGTTATCTGTTCTGTACTGGACAATAGTTATGGATTCGTGCTAGAGCTAGATTGGAAGAATCCTACAAGAATTGAAGTTCGTAAAGATAAATCCATCCCTTCTATTAGTAATTTGATTGCTTAGTCTAAATTTTATGTATTTTTTATAATAGAAGAGTTGATCAAGAATGTGTTCATGCTACAAATGAGTCATTATACGCTTCTTAGTGAAAAAAAAAAAAGCTTATCAAAATAAATGTAGTTTTCATTAATGAGTCTTGAATGTTTGAGATTGGCATTTTAAACTTTTATGAACGAATGTGGATTTCGTATTAACATTGTTGAGCGACTCCGTCCAAATGTTAAATGATACTATTAGTTTACTTTTGTGAATTCTGGTGGTAGCTCTTGCTACTTTGTTCCTCCTCTAGAAGAAATAGAGTAGCCCACAAAATAACGTCTTTCTTTATATAAGATATTTTTGTTAGACAATGGCTAGGGATGGCAATGAGGCCTCCCGTGGAGGTAATTTTCCGCCACATTATCCGTTTAAGGTGGGGCGGGGCTCTTGCCCTGTTTACTATCCATTTTTTTCCTTCATTCATTAAAATGAGATAATAATGTATTTTGAATTTTTTTTATTTATTTTAAAAAGTTATATTATTCAAGTATATTTGATAAATTAAGGCTTTTATTATTTGTCATATTCTTAGATAATTTTGCATTTTTTTATTAGAACTAATGAAATTTCGTGAAATTTTTCATTTAAAACATTGAATTATAAAAAAAATTAAACAGGTGGGATGGGGCGGTGTACCCATTATCCGTACCCGTCGGGTACACCACCCCGGGGCAAAATTACTCGGCCCGTCCCCAATTTGAATACCCGATTAAGTGAGTAATTCTCGCTCCGTTCAAGCCCCACGAGTATCGAATTTGTCAATTTTTTTGTCATTCCTAACAATGGTCTGAATAGTATACCTTGCACATCATCGCCAATTGTTTGTGGCTACATAATTATTAGAATAGAATTTAGCTTCGAAGAAAAACAAAAGAATTGATATTTGCGTTGCCGCGAAATTGGGGAAATGTCTAATCACACATTAATCTAGTATTAATTGTGAAAGCTGTTTCATGGACGGTCCAAGAAAACGGACTACGGTTTTAACCACTAAAATAAATATCTAGATTATTCTGGCAGGAACCTTTGAAAATATATTGATTATGACATAATTTAATTTAGGGGCCCATTTTCCAAGCTTTCAAAAAATCAAAAGATGCTTTTAAAATTAAGAAGCTACTTTTGAACATATTTAAATAATTTTCTAAAAGTACTTTATCTGATCGAAGAATTTTAGAGAGATGATTTGAAGCAACTTTTTCATGAAACTTTTTATAAGAAGCATAAACAAAAGTAGAAATCCTGCCAAACAAACTCTTTATCCTGCCAAAATCCCGACGTATCATGAATAAATTAAGAGTAACATTTTAAAGCAAATTACATTTAAAATTTTAAATTATTAGAGAATAATATAATCTATTAATTAATATCAATATATTATAAGGTCAAATAAACAGATGTACTAGGATCATATGGCTAAAATTAAGTCAACATTAAAATGGAGTGGCAAGATGTGGACCAATAATATCACGACAGATATCGAGACGCGTCTAAACCTCTTAAGTCTTAACAACTGTAATTTATTAACTAATTATAACTTATTTTATTATGTGATTGATTTATAAGTAATGATCTGTATGGTAATCTTTCATAAGCATGCAATTACACATTATGACAATAGCTGGAGGATAAGGAGCTCAGGATAGTGATTGAAATTGAAAACAAAGCCTTAGTCATCGGCAGTCCTTGTTTCTTAAGCAAATACTATTGTGACATCTTCGGTAAAGCAGATTAGATAGCACTGAACAGTATTAAAAACCGAAAATGAAAGTAAAAACTCGTATATTATATTGTTCATCAATCGAGCTGTAATTGACACGAACTGAATAAAAATCACAATTCGTCGACTAATTTGGTTACCTCGACTCGCCTATAATAGAATCCAATGAAAGAGTTTACAGAAAGATTTAACCTGCTACTCCTAGTCGCGAAATACCTTCTAATTGTACACACACTGCATCATATCCCGTCATCAATGAAGACTGCACGAGTCTTCCTCTGCAACCACAATATTATGAAATAACGTGTAAAATGCTTATTCAATCAAATAAAGAAGAGGCATATGTTCCAAAAGTAAATGGTATTCGACCATGTGAGTTTTATTGTTGGGGGACAGGGGAGAAAAAGCGAGAGAACTTACGGGATTGCCCTTGTATATGCATATAATTGTACAAAAATGAAGACCCAAACTGTTGACCGCTCCACGAGAACATTTCGAACAGTAGAATATGAAATATTCGGCATACGACCTTAATGATATAGAGGAATCCCTTGTTAAAGAGGAAGCTGTTCTGCCGAGTCAATAAATTCCCTCGGATTCATGGACAAAATGCACAGCCAATGGGGGAAGAAAAAATAAATGCCAAGAAAAACAAGAACTCCAAGATCAGCCTCTTCACCAACAGCTGCTCGACGAGGAGTAATCAGGTAAATCTGGCTCACGCACCAGAGGCAGTACAAGCTTGCGACTGTCAGGAGCAGTCTCAAGGATTGCTGAGATTGTTTTCTAAACGACTTCACGGGTTTTACTCTGCGAGAAAATCACAACAGAAAGTTGAACATATCAATAACCTAAAACTTGATAAAGCTTAATATTTTATTGAACAGAATTTCGCTGTTACAAACTTATTGATGTAAATAAAACCACCGATCAAGGTGGTACACAAAAGGCTTATAACGAGCACAGCATCGGGATTAATTGGCGCTCGACTTTTCCACCATCCAGTGCTCAATATCCACATATACATGGAAGAATGTCCATTTTCCTGTTCACGTCAAAGGGTTAAACGAGAATGAGAATGAATCATTAGTTTTTGGTTCAAATTATGAAAGCTCGTGTGGGTGACACTATTGAAAAGGATGCCATCAATAGAACTCTTAGAGCTTGTTTGAGCCCCATTTTGTAGTAAAAAATGCATTTTGGAATAGTGATTTGATGGAAAAATGTATGGTTAAAAAGTAAGAAAAAATTTTGGGTTTACGTATAATATTATTTTTTTGAAGAATATGTGATTAAAAATAAGAAAGAGAAAAATGTATTTTGAAAATAATGGAAACCAAACAAGGGCCGAGGCATGCCGAGTATTACCTCAAACAAGTGGTCTAGGAAAAAGTGTGAAAACGATCCTGCAGACACCAACAAGAAGCACTGCCTCCTAGTAAGTGGCACCTGAACCCAAATACTCCATTAGCAATCAATACTAGAGATCGGCAAAGATTCTTTCATATAAAATCGAAAGCACGAAGATAATATGCCTATCAAGGATGAAACTGAAGTAAACTAGTGATGCATAACTGAAATAAGTTCAAGCACGATCATATTGAAATCATTAAGCAATAAGCCAATAAATATTCCCTCCTGATTAATCGCAAAGTAGTTATCTTAGCTATTCTTTCAATGCAACTTATAGTGTCCACTATGAAACTAAGCCCTTGTTTGAGCCCCATTCTTTAAAACTTATTTTTCACAAAACTCATTTTCAATTACACATTCTCCCTAAAAATAATTTTTCACATAAATCCAAAACTTTTTAACCACACATTCTCCAAAAAAATCACTTTTCACAAAATCTATTATAAAAAAATGGGACTCAAACAAGGGCTAAATTTTCAACTTGCACAAGGCCTACCAATTTTGGGTTCCATATTGCCATAACCGCTGTACCACGAACACTTCAATTAGGATAGCGTGTCCGTGTCCGACACGTGTTGATACCGACTATTCTCGGACACTCTATCAACGTGTCAGTGACATGTCGTGTCAATTTTTTTTTAAAATCGCGTATCGACATATCCGACACATATGGTGTCAGACACACGTATCCTTATCAATGCATGATAGGCCATGACCATTCACCAAGTCTTTGCCTAGTAGGCATCAACGCTATATAAAATAAGAAAATAATCCAAGATCATGTTTGGTTGTGTCCAAAAATAAGTCAAATTACATTTACTCTTAAGTTACTTATTTTGCTAAACATTGTTGTCAAAGTTACTTTTCTTTTTAACTAACTTGCTTTTCTAGAAACACAAATAATTGTATCCAACAATGCTCTGAGGCACGTCTCAGAAGTGGGATCTTCAACCGCATTCTAAACGAGCAACAACTTTTCATTCTCATGTCTATCTTCCTCTCCTCCATCAATCGCAACGAGCCCTCAACATTTCTTGGCATGACATACACATATATAGTTCTCAAACTCACGGCAGAAGTTTATATTGCTATAAATCTTTTCTAGCTTGTATTTAAAGCATAAAAATCTGAAACTAGAAACTTAAATTCTTAAAGGGTCATTCACACTTGAACTGTTAAACTATTATCTGCATGTGGTGCGGAAGCGTCATGAAATTCTTATAATAAGAATTGAAAATCAAAATTATATTGGAATAATCTTACTTTGTATTGATATATGATTGACTGATTGATTAAAAAGTGTACAATACCCCTATATTTATAGGCAAAATTATCCCTAATACTATTAATAAAAGGAAACTAAAATAAGAAAACTAATAAAAT